TCTTTATTTTTACATTCAGAATGCTTTAAAAATTCCATTTACAAGACAATTGTTTATAATAAAATTCTATTCATTCGGTAGACTCATAACGATTGAAAACAATGTTTTTTTGTTGTTTTTTTTTGAGTTTGGGTTTGACCAATTCGTAAAAAAAAAGTAAAAATAATTAAGACATGCATGTCCGTCAACCTTAAACAATAATCTTTGTCAATTTTATTTTTCAGTCTTTATTGATGGTATATACTTGATCTATCTCTTACTGTTACATCCCCGGACAACGCCGGGCTCTACTGCTAGTTAAGAAATAATTCCAACTTTACATCATCATTGGTCAAATCGTTTCTTCATAATAACTTCATCCAAAACTTTAAATAAACACATAACGATGTTCAACTGTAATCATAAATTTTTGAAAAACATATATATTTCGGGCACTCGCCACCTATATTCATTAAAATAGGTTGAGGGTATCTCTTCCTCTGAACTGGCAATCGTTCTACTGGCACGAATACAAGTCATTGCTGGCCTGTTGATCACGTTAGATAACGCGCTCTCTTCCAGAAACTCTGAGGTTCGCTCAGTATAGTTGCAGTATAAACCACAAGTGGTCTCAGTGGGTGTTGAACAACAAATGTGCCTGAGCAGGCATCTGCAACAGGGATTAGCTAGCCGCCCTAGTAGACGGGCATCCTCGAATACGAGTGACCAGCCATCCATATTATTTGTTTACGGATAATAGTAAGATACACAACTGCCTAAAGGTGTTTGAATTTATTACCCGAAGTATTTTCATTATTAATTTCTGATGAATTTTTCTTTAATCTGACAATTGTAGCTTTTTTAAACAACGGTCAGATTATCTGTCTGAGGACGTTAAATGAAAATGGAAAATAAAGCAGCCTAGAACAAGATTAAAAAAGAAAAATAACAAAAATAAGCAGGAAAAATAACAAGTCTAATAATTATATAAATACTTCATATACAGGGTGCGGTAGAAATACCTCACATATATCCACCAGAAATACCTCTTACATAATGGTAAGTTTAATAAGAGGTATTCCTGGGAGGTATATGTGGTAGGTATTTCTACTGTAGCCTGTATAAAAAAGATAATTTGATATTTTTATTCCTGTAGGTTTATCAATAAGGAAGAGAATATAAACCCGAACAACTGGGGGAAAGATGATGACTTCTCATATTTCACGAGGAAGGCTGAAGTACGAATCGGCTGAAATGTAGTGATAAAAGCAAAAAAAAAAAAAAAAAAAAAAAAAAAAAAGAAACTGAGAATACTAATTCACAAATTGGTGGGAAAATGATTAAGACCTTCACCTCGGAATTTCAGGCAATAGATATTTCTATAATCTTGGCTAAAGTTTAAGCCTGTTTTGAGGGCGTGGAACCTCAGTCCAAACGGGATGTAGCAAAATGGATGCTCATAAAGATAGCGCCAAATACCAAGCTAATAGTTCTTACTCTGACCGAAAGAAAAGTGAACACACAAGAAAAACAATCTCGAGAGATGATCCTATCATTAAATCTTTGACTTCATCATCTCCAAATTCATTCATCCATTAAAAAAACAAATTCGAGCTCCTTTACCATAATGAACAATAAATTACTGCAGTGTGGATTCATCAGAGAACATAACTTTTCCTTATTGTCCCTCTGTCTCATGTTCATGCTTTTTTAGCGAATGTGCTTCTTTTTCTTTCCCACGGGTGAATTTGGCATGTTTAGAGAAGCTTACTTCAAATTCATTGACCAATCTGCGAGAAACATTCCTAGGACTCACATCTGTACCCCACTATTTGCAATGTTATTATTTCGACTTCTTAAATCTTATAAAGTGACGGTGTTTTACTCATTTTTTTAGCATATAAAAACTAACTGAAAACTAAACTAGTCCTTAGAACAAGATCACAGCATTCAAACTGGACAAAGCTCTGTGCTACATTTTCAAACTTGAAGATGAAGTAATATTACTTATAATGGCATTTTTTTCTTCTTTATCTACCATGTCCCCTCAGGACGTAGGTGATCATGACTCTCCACAACTTCCTGTCCCTCGTAGCTCTTATTAATTTTTTCTCTTTCTGTTATTTCTCCTAAACCCTGTTCCGCCATCTTACTTTAGTCCAGTAAGTATGTTATACGTTGTTTCCCTCTGCCTCTCTTGCCTTCAGTCTTTCTTGTGAGTATCAGATTTTTTTCCTTATGTGCCCTAGAAATTTCAACTCTCTTATCCTGATGTTATTAGTTTCCTTTTCGTTTCTATTTTTGTCGTTGCTCACATGTTCGGTCCATTGTATCCTCAACATCCTTCTGTAGAACCACATATCTGTTGCTTCCAGTCCCTTTTTCATCTTTGAGGAGATTTTCCAGCAATCACTTCCATACATGGACAGATGTCACATAACAGTTTGGTACTCTTTTCCTTGTTTCTAGCGTGGTTTTCCTATTTCTTAGTACTCTGCTTAACTTTTGGGGGGCATCTTTGGCTATCCCAATTACAGTTGATGTTTAATCCTTTCCTCGCTTTCCTTCATTACCTTCGATGGGAGTATTTGCAGTTTTATGTCCGTGTCTACTATCAATACAGCGCCATCTATATATCTTATGTTGTTAAAGTTGTGGCCGCCAATAATGAATCCTTGCAGGACTTCTAATTCTCTCAGAATCACCTCGCTGTATAGGTTGGATAAGTCCTGTGAGAAGACACAACCTTGTTCTACACCCCTTTTTATTTTTGTATATCTCCTGACCTCATTTTTTACCCATATGCAGGCGGTTTGCGGCCAATATATGTTCTAGATTATTCTAATATCCTTCCCAAATACAAGTTTTAAATGCAAGTATCTTGGATTATAAAAATGACATAGAATATCAAATATATTTATTACATAACTGATATACAAGAGTCCAACATATTGTCTAATATTTGAATATTACATCCCTGAGATGGTAACCACTACAAAGAGAACATTCACGAGCTCACTCTCTCATTTCAAACAGTGCAATTTCTTTTGGAGTTCACGACATTATGAGGGTCCACATTCAACAAAAGAGACATCAAATACCTGTAGGAAATAGCAAAATCTTAGATAATATGTTGAACTCTTGTGTATCAGTTAGGTAATGAATATATTTCGTACTTTATGTCATTTTTATCATCCAAGATACTTGCATTTAAAATGTGTCCCATCATTACGAGATACGTTGGTGAGAAGTTTCAACATACCTTTGTGGCGTATTTTATTTCAAACCTAAGGCTAAGACATGCTAGTCCTTATAATCACCTTTTTCGGTTTGATTAAATTTTATTCTTTTACCTTTCATTATTATTTTTAATTATGCTTTTCACTTCTCTTAATATTTTTCTTGCATTCCTTTCTTCTTCTTCTCTTCTTCGAAATATAGGTTTATAAGATGTATTTAGAAATAGTCCATTTCTTTAATATGCTTTTGTTTTTACAAATTAGCACGTTGCAAGAAAATGATCACATAATTTAATGGATGCTGTGCTAATAGGGATATTGATTTCTGAGTACAAACATTCACTTTCTATTCTTTTTTATTCACATATTATGCGTATTCGACTAGTAGCAGCAGACGTAATAGTTTTAGTTTGAATACCTTAAATGAAGCATTATTGCAAATAACTTTTCATTAGTTTTTCTCTCATTTTATTGCTTTTTGTCGCCAACGTTCAGGTTGCTTAACCTTCTACCACCGTTCAGTATGTAGAACGCACCAAAAATCATCATCATCTTCTTCTTCTTCTTCTTTTTCTTCAGCAATTATTTTGCGTCTTTGTTGTCTCCTTCACATTGTCTTGCCTTTTCCTCAATTCTTTCTTTTTCATTTCTATGTCATCCTTCTTTATTCTTCTTTATTGTCTCCTTTCTTTTCTTCTCTATCACTCCTTCTTGTTTTACACATTTTTCTTACTTTTCTTCCTCTTCCCCCAAATGTAGGTCGTTTTAAAATGCCCCCCCCCAAAAAAAACAAAAACAAATGCTCACCACACTCAGACCCCACAACCTTCAGGAAAATTCAACAGCCCTCTGCAATATAAAACCCAAGCCGCCTACTCCTCAGGCCCTGTTCACTCAGCGTTAACCTCGATAGAACACAACCAAAATCCTTTCGAAAAACCACCACCGCGACAAAAACAACAAACAAACAAATGATAATCAAATCAATAATCACAATTACAAATAGAATTTTTACTTTCTCTGTAACTGCTTCCTTTTTCTCCATGATCTATGTACCCATCAGCAATGACAACGGTGTCCGATTCCATCTCCTGTCATCTCACGCATACAAAAAAAAAATGCATCCACAAATATGCACATGCATAAACACAAACACATACACATCAAAAAAATCGTGTACGACTATTCTCACGTGACCGTCGAAGACGATAAACGATTGGCTTATGGGTATCGATCCGACATTCCACCAAACGCGACTGCCATCGAACGACGGCCATCCATATATCCATCTTGCGTTGCTCGAATCTCTCTTTTATTGGATTATGTGCCGACCTCGATCGATGGCCACGGGAAAAGTTAAGAGGCGTAAAAAAAAAAAAAAAATGATTTAACGGAAGAGATCAAGAGGGTTGAGTTACTGACAACATGACTAGAAGAAGGAGACGTAGTAATAAATAAAGATAATTTAAAAACGAATAAAGAGTAAAAGAGAAAAAGAGAACGTAAGTATTAGATGTGTACAAAAGTTTCCTGCGTTTTTTTATTAAGGAGAAAATAACCTGTTTTCTACTGTGTATAGAGATTCTAGTTTTAACAAAAGAGGGCACTGGAACATTTTACAGGCAAACAATAATAATAATAATAATAATAATAAGAAGAAGAAGAAGAATAAGAAGAAGAAGAAGAATTTTTCTTCTTCAAGAAGAAAATGTAAAATGTGTATGATAGGTATTTTTTTACAAAAATGATCTGTGGAAAGTGTCATGAAGCCATTTTTAACATTAGGACACCGGTTCTCGTACGATCACTGAAATTAAGCAACTTCGAGCCTAGTCAGTACCTAGATGGGTGACCGCATAGAAATATCTGGTACTGTACGTTTGGATGTGTAGGTGATGTAATAGATAACGGCTCGGGATGAGAAATAGGATATCCGGGTTTAAATTCCAAACGGGTTCGTTACATCCAATTATGCGCAAATACCCTTGACCAATGATGAATCGAGAAGAGACATGATCTCCCACGCGTGTCACATCAACCCTTACCAACACACATTGGACCAGTGCCTATTCCTCACTATGAACGAAATCTAGGGAAGGGCTATATCCAACGAAGGACCTTCACAGGCTAATAATAATAATAATAATAAGTTGAAGACAAGAAATTAAGGAAATGTATGCTTATTGACATAGAAGTACCATCTGAGAGAAACACCTCCATTAAATTATCGAAAAATTGTCCAAATACAAAGACCCGGAGATCGAGATTAATAGGATGTGGGGAATGAAGACTGAGACTGTACCAATAGTAATCAGAGCACTGGGCCTCATGAGAAAAGGAATGGACAATTTTACTTACAGTTTCTCAGGTAACATCAACATACATGTTGCCCAGAAAATCGCTCTACTGGGAACATACCATATACTAAGAAAAGAGCTATCAATTAAATAACAATTCTCCTATAGGGATCATAGTTTGGACCCAGTTCTACAGGATGCAAAGCAGAAAACATAACACACAAGCAATAATAATAAAATCAACCAGTGGAAGTTGTATGAAAAGTGGAGCTTTTCAATGAGAAAAGGTATGGTACAAACATAGAGAAAGTACTTGAGTCAGAAATATACATGATGCTGTGGGATTTTTCCATTTTTGGTCATATTGGCAGCACGTGCTGGGGAAATTTCCTGCTGTTGGAGTGCACTTCCTAGATTGATAAATGCCGGATATCGAACATTCAAAGTATCATATATTCACTGCAGATGTTGCATAAAGGTCAGCTTTTACATCATGGCCATCGAAACAAGCTCTAAGTACAACACCTGCTCGAAATTACGCCAAACACACAAAATGACCTTCTGTTCAAATCGCCCTTGTTATGACAACAGCTTCTAAAGCCTAACAGGAACGAAACCACTGACTTTTCTTATTAGAATTACGAAAATAGACCCACATTTCATCCCCAGTTACCGTTTGCCGTCTAAAAGGATTATATTGAGGGTTTGCTGGCAGTTTTTTGCAAATGTTGAGCCTGGCCAGTTCATGAGGAACTTTTCGACAGCGTCTGCTTGCAAGACTGAATTTATGGCAGTGTCGATTGGTGGTGCATTGTGATGGAACAAGTTCTGTCGTCAATGTAATAGTGCTTATGATTGGCTGTTATTCAACCATTTCAAGCATGGCCTCACATTCCACAACAGGCCTCTCTCATCTTGCTTTGTCATTTTCCTTGAAATTTCAGAACTAGTTTTGTGTCATTCATTCGTTGGCAGTTGCTGGTCCATCCATATCATTAATTTCTTTTACCGCTGCCATTGTACTCAGTGTTTTTTTTCCCACAGGTACCGTAAAATGGCTCTAATAGCAATGTTTTCACCACTCATTATCAAAGCCGTAAAATAAAGAAAACAAATAATTAATGTTTATATTTTATGTATAAAAATAAAGAATGAAAAATTTAGCAACGATTGGACAACAAATTGTATCAAATTATGATATAACATGGTGATAAAAATCGCCAAAAATCATCAGTGAAAATTCGAAAAAACTTTTGACTCAAAAATTATTACTTGTAACCAGATTTATTTTCCCACGAAAACGAAATGAATTTTGTACACATTCTACATATTAAACGAATGATCTAAAAATAAATAGAGTAAAAATGATTGAAAAGCCATACTTAATGAGTCAAAATATTAAAAGTACACATTTTATTAATTATAAAATATAATAAAACGTACATAATGTACTTAATATAAAAATATTAAAAAGTACACACGTACTTAATATAAAATTATTAAAACATGCACATTGCAATAAATATAACAATATTAAAAAGTACACATTGTACTTAACATAAAAATATTAAAAAGTACACATTGAACATAATACATATTATTTAAAAGTACCCATATATTGATATAAAACTATTAAAAAGTACGCATGTACTTGATATAAAAATATTAAAAACTACACATATACGTGATATAAAAATATTAAAAGTACACACGTACTTGATATAAAAATATTAAAAACTACACACGTACTTGATATAAAAATATTAAAATGTATACAAATACTTGATATAATATTATTAAAAAGTGTACTCTGTATTTAATATAAAATATTAAAATATTACAAAGTACACACGTACGCGCTTCGTCCCATAAAATTTATTTGGTCCATGTCATTTTCGACGATTTATTTTTGATATTGCATTTTTAAAATACAATTGACAGAAGTTGCAACATAGATAGGCCCTATTGTCTCTTTTTACACATTGAACTTCCGCCTTATTTGTCCTTTTTTCTTCTTTTTTAATCATCGTCATATTGCGCGCTTTACGATATAAAAATGGGTCAGAAATGTATCATGGAGTCATTACTGCTCAATATAACCCGGTGACCTATGACAAATCGATTCAACTGTCAATCTAACCTGGCTTTAGATCCCTTGATGTTCGACTAGTAGACAATCAACTAATTATTCATTTGAAATAATCAATACAGATACTAAATCCGAAGGATGAGTAGAAAAGGCCTTTAAATATTCTGTTAAACGATCACTTCGTGTAACTTTGTTTCACAAGCCAAAAGTCTCTATTAATTTTATCTCCTATCCAAATGTTTAATATTTAAACGCTATGAGTGCCAACATATGTGTAAGTGTGTGAGTAAAACTTTACTGTGTCATCAGAAGAGTCCGCTACATAAAGATGTGAGAATTATTTCTCTATTTCTGTTTATTGGATTCTTCTGATCACGTAGCTGTTTATTTCTTTGTGGTAGTGACGTAGTAGAAACAGAATTCTGTTATGCTACTGCAAGATGTCTAGAATATTGGCATTGTTCATTTCTTAGTACGAGTAAACTAGTTGCACATCTATCTATCTATCTATCTATCTATCTATCTATCTATCTATCTATCTATCTATCTAATGGCTAGCTCCTCGTTTCCAAGCATATCCGAGTAGTAAATCCCTATTACAGACGCCCGCTTTACCCACAGATCTACACCTGTGGTTTATACTGCAACTATGCTAGGCGTACATTAGTTAGAGTTTCTGCAGGAGAACGCATAATCTAGCGTGATCACAAGCTCTCTCCCAGTAACTGTAACTAAGGTCTGCTCAACATAATTGCAGTATAAAGCACAGGTAGGCTCCGTGGGTGTTAAACAAACACAAATGTGCCTGAGCGAGCGTCTACGATAGGGATTGGCTAGCCACCCTAGTAGATGGGTATCCTCGAATACAGAGTAATATATATATATATATATATATATATATATATATATATATATATATATATATGTGTGTGTCTGTGTGTATATATATATGTATATATATATATATGTGTGTGTATGTATATATACATATATATATATATATATATATATATATATATATACAGTTAACCCGATATAAGAGACCCGGATATAAGAGAAAACCGGATATAAGAGAGATTTTCTCTGGTCCCAAATTAGAGCCTGTGTTAATGTATATAAAATAGACCAAACAGATATAAGAGAAACCCGGATATAAGAGACTTCTCCGGTCCCGACCATTCTCTTATATCCGGGTTACACTGTATATATATATATATATATATATATATATATATATATATATATATATATATAAATTCACAACACATATTAAAATAAGTATATTTTATATACATACAGAAATTCACAATACATATTAAAATAAGTAAAATTCTTAGCAGAATTTTTGTCAAGAAAATTCTCAATAGAGAATAAGAGTGACAATAGACAATATGGTTTCGTGTTTCACTGTCTGATTGGTAACCCTGATGAGTGGTTTGTCCCTCGAAACTTTGAAGTCTTTCGAAAGATAAGTCAATTAAACTTTTATTCATTTATTATTTCCCTCCTCTCGCTCTCTCTTTCTGTCTCTCCACACACACACACACACACACACATATATATATATATATATATATATATATATATATATATATATATATATATAATGATTAATAAAAATATAAATTTTGTCAGTTAGCTGTTTGATGTTATATACAATACCTCTACTCTGGAGTTTCGTAGACGAACCTTTGTGTAGTTGTTCGGTCCATTTGCCAGGAGAGATCAGCAAATGTCTGTCAATTTTCTCGTTTTCGTTATTTTTATATTAAGTTATAATTTTGTATTCCGTTATTTCTAGTTTAATTAATAATAAAAAAAATACTTAAATGGCAAAGAAAATGTTTGTTTATATGCCTTCGCTTGCCCGTGTTTTCGTTTTTCTTGTTTAATAGTTGATAATTTGTTTTTTACCTGGTTTGGTGTTATTAGGTTATTATTGTTTATATAAGGTTAAGTTTATGACTGTAAGGCAACTCATATCTCAAGGGAATGAAGAAGCTGTAGTGTGATTCGAAGTCGAAAAAATTAAAATAGCTCAACAAGCTTCTCTTCGAAAAAAAATGAAGGAAAACTTTTCATCAAAAGTACATCAGATATGCACGATGCAATTAAAAGAAAATGCTAGAATGCAATTTTGAAATTCACAGGCAAAGTAAACGAGAAGTTTATGATCTCCACTTGTAAAATTTTCAATACTGTTTATAGTTTAGCGAAACGAAACAGGCGGTTTTCTGATATTGAACAACTGAGAGAACTACAAATAAACAATGGGTTAGATATGGGAGTGGGACTACATTCTCGACACTGCTTGTTGATCATATTGCAAAGGGCATTAAAAAGGAAGTATTCAATAAAATAATTGAACATAATTTAAAGATCTGTGATATAATTGATGAAGCCTCAATAATAACATGTAAACCAATCATTATCATTTTTATCAACGTTGAAGATGTGTTGGAATTACAAGGCCAAGGTGCTGAAACCATCTACACTTCTCTACTAGAAAGACCGCATTCAGTAGGATTTCATGTTCAATATTTCAAAATTAATTGGCATGATTTTTTCAGGTGGAGAACGTGTGATGTTGGGGAGAAACTCGGGGGGGGGGTGTATAAAAATGAAAAATGATTTTCCTGTAATCATTTTTTGGCATTATTTGAGTCACCGCCTTTGGCTCGTTTTGAATGATTCTATCAAGGATGTAAAGCAAATGAATCACTTTAAAGAATTTATTTATTAAAGATACAAAATCTTTCACCTATATCTTGGTGTGGGGGTGATAAGAGATGCGTTCAATAATATTTGTACGATGGGGTCTAAACTCGACAGACGAATCCGCCTTTTCGTGCCAATATCCGGTACACGATCAACTAAACCAATTGTCCTATGGGTACCCATCTCAGATGTTGATGAAATTTTAGTATGTTGTACCCTGATAATGAGATATTAAAAAAAAAAACTAAAATTTTAGTTTCCTTAAACTTTTACTTCAGAAGATATGGTCTCTTGAAATCTAATGCCAGTTTTCGCTGATTTAAAAATAACACGATTTGCCAAATTTGTCATTTCATATCTATCTTTGCATTCTAAGGAGATACCAAGTTGATATTTTGTAGTCCTAGTCTAATATATATATATATATATACATAATAAACTACACCCAGCTGATCACACCAAATGTAGAGCAAATACTTTAAACCATGGATATTCGGCTTTGTCAACGATGTTGATGCATGGCAGTGCTTACCCCACGGTCGTTTACGCTGAGAGTTATCGTAGTGTATCCGCTTTTCATCACCGGTCATGATGCGATGCCAAAAACTTTCCTTTTCTGCTGTTGAAGCAGCTGTTCACACGTAACAAGAGGCCGTACGGTTCGATGTCTCTCGGCTTCAACTCGCGCGGACCCCCAGTGCCCTTGTGTTTTTAATCATTCCTAATGCTTTCAAACGTCTCGAAACTGTTTCTTGATCAACTCCTAATGATTTTGCAAGTTCATCTTGCGCCTGACATGAGCCATCATCAAGTAATGCTTCCAATTCTTCGTCTTCAAACTTTTTCGGTGCACCAAAGCGTTCTTTATCTTCAACATCAAAATCATTATTTTTGAAGCGTCTAAACCAATCTCTGCATGTTGTTTCCGACAGAGCATGGTCGCCGTAAGTCTCAACAAGAATTCTGTGTGCTTCAGCTGCAGATTTCTTTTGAATAAAACAATGCAGTAAAATTCCCCGCAAATACACTTTCTTTGGCACGAAATCCAACGTTTAACGCTATGAAAAACAAAATTGTTTACACTTCTGCGAAATGACATACACTGAATTTCAAGCCTGGTTATAGTACTCTCTTATAAGGTGCGTTACCATCTGAAACTACACGCACGCAATTCTGGGAACGCCATCTGTTGGAAAACAGCGAGAATTTATTCAAGGTCCTAATATATATATATATATATATATATATATATATATATATATGTAGTTTGTCTGACGATTGCAAATAGCGTGAAACCCAAACATACAAACTTACATGTCACAAATTTACATCAATCCAAATAATTACATATATATATATATATATATATATATATATATATATATTACACTTCATGCACGTGCCGTTGAATATGACGGTCAAGGAATATTATGTAATTTTTTGATCCTTACAATTTTTTTCTTTTTTGGAAGTCAGTTGCGTTGAGGAATTGTTTTTAGTTCTTTATGTTTCGTATGTTGCATTGGTGTCTTTTGCGTTTTGAAACTCCACTAAGGAGGAAATTGCAGCTACCCTCACCCAACATTGCACAGGAAACACTACATATATAATTACAATGATGGTTACCCCAAAAATATAAAAAAGAAAATCCTATAAAATGTAAAATATCGTACAAATGTATTGAAATGTAGTACAATTAATATGAAATACATGTGTTAATGTTACTGTAATATCAACTGTTTCCTTATTAAGAGACATTCGGCATTCATTGACATTGCAGCCAATACTACTTTCGGTTGAAATTTATATAATCTTCCTTTTAAATCAGTTATTCACGAAAAAAGTTTTCTTAATTCCACTAACTGCTATTGTTTATTCCAGCATTGATGGGAGAATTTGTTATTTGCTCGTGATGATGGAGAAATATGTTATTTTTAGTATTGATAGTGGACGGGGGAATTTGTTATTTCCAGTATTGATGGAGGTCAGGGAATTGTTATTTCCAGTATTGATGGGGATGGAGTATTTGTTATTTTCCAGTACTGAAGGTGGACGGGGAATTGATGGGGTAGGGGTGGGGGTTTCGGGAATTGTTATTTCCTATATTGATGGGGTAAATTAATGTTTCCAGTATTGATGGGGGAATTTGTATTTCCTGTATTGATGGGAGAATTCTTCCTTGCCTTTTATTTAAACGTCAATATATTGATTATGTCATTTTATCGTCGAGTTACATATGCTATGAGTTTTAGCGGTTGTCGCTGTTGAAATTTCTCAAGTAATGTAGTTTCCGTTATTTGGTACAGTCATTTCTAAATACGCTGTGTAACGAGCCTATTTAAGAATATGACTCAAGTTTTCAGGTTAATATTTTGGTTTTGTATCAATTTGTAATGTTGGGGGAAACTACTTTTAACACAGGCTGTTCTATGTTCAATGTCCTTGTAACTCAGGTCACAGTCAAAATTGTGTACATATCTTGCTATAAGGCAGATAAATATGTTATTAAATGTACAAAAAAAAGTTAAAGATATGCTTTGTGAGAAATTAATGGTCCAATATTAAGGTCAAGGTGAAATGATCCTATTTGAACTTTAAACAAAAAATAAATATATCACCCTTTATATCTATCCAAGTACTTTAAAATGGCATATAATTTAACTTTGTGGGTGTAAAAAAAACAACTTAGATATTGATATTTAAATTATTTTGTGACAATTTTCCAAAATTCACCTTTTGGCATGGGTCAAAGGTCATATCTTGGGAACCCTTTGACCTAGTGATGTAAAATAGATACCATTCAATTTCTATCATGAAACTCTATAAGTATACCAAATTTAAAAAAAAATCTTTGTCGGTAATGGTCAGATCTTTGTTGATTTGACACTGAATGACTCCATACTAAATTTGTTATAATTGATCCAAACACAAGGCCATTTGAAGCGTTTAGCATTTATTAAATTCATAGCCTGATTTTTATGATGGATTAAGAGTCAGTGTTATCACTACTTCCATTCCAATTCCAGATCATAGCTCTTGTATTTTCTTGTGTTTCAATTGCTTGGAAAATTTAGCAAAGATTAAAGCTACTTGACTAATCTTGTTAATCTCATTTACCACTTGCTAAATTAAGGAAAACATGTTCAAATACCCTATGGTATTAACGAAGAGTTAACTTTGTGTAAAACGCACTTCAAACGAATAATGAGGCCGGACAACAACAGACGAATCACTTCACTAATTTGCATTAATACCTTTCGACTGTGTAAAAATAGTGCGAAAACTAAGTTCATCTCGATCCAGAAGCTTATAAAATATTTATGAGCTTTATACGAAAAGAAATTAATGGACAGAGTGATAGATAAAAATCTCCTGTGATTACAATGAATACCTCTCACCAGAATTTATAAATTTAATAAATAAATAAATATCTTATATAGTATGGATTATTTCCCCACGCGTCAAAATAATTACCGCATCACTCTGCGTGTTCTCCTCCACGTTGTTAAAATGAAGCCGACGCTATTTTATTGCCAAAAGCAAGAGTGGAGACAGTAAAAACCAAACTCTCATTGTTGGTTTTACTGCATTTGACATAGCTGCAATATACAATGAAACCATAATCGTACCTTGCTGTGGCCTGAAGGTTAGAGTGAAACTATCGCAGATCATTACCACTGGGCAGTGAGTTCGATCCTCACTGAATATTCTATATTTATGATCAGGTGTCAAAAGTGTGCTAAACATAATAAACTGACGCCTCAGTGTGGGGTAATGTTTTCTCGCTGACAATTACAACTGAGTTATGAGTTTGAGCCCCGCTGAGTACTCAGTATCACTGGTTGCGTTGCCAAAAGTATCATAACCTTACTAAATTACATTAATTGCAGCCTCTTCTCGACATGAGGGGAAAATGAACCGAAGATTTGCTCCTCACATCTTCATCATTTTCACTTAAAGGAGGAGAATTAGGAGGCCAATCTCTGATGCCCGGTACCACCACACATTCGGTGTAACCTTGTGTTAATCCTACAACTGTGGGCCGTTGGTAAACAACACCATGGAGCCACTGTTCTAACACTACCACATTACTATACTCTTCACCCCCTCTATCTTTCTCTCTTTTTCAACCGCTCTCTAAAAGAGGAAAAGGTATTGGGAGAGAGTATAAAGAAAATGATGAAAAGGAGAAATATACCAACGAAATTCGAAACATACGCACGCACACACATGCACACGCTCAAACACACACACACATGCACACGCTCAAACACACACCCGGGCGCACACACAAAGAGAAATAGAATCAACCTAACACTAATAATGACAGATCACAACTTAATTGGATATAGAAATAACTAAAAATGAGAAAAATGACAGTTGATTACTGAAACCTACTGACGAGTGGACTGAACAATTACGGAAGGGTTCGTCTGCGAACTTCAGAGTCGTGGTGTAGAATAAAACATTATTCAGCTAAGGGGCAAATTGTATTTGTATTATAGTAATAAAGAAAACTGCTCATTCTCACAATTAGACATAAAAGACATCGACTCGTCTATTAATGAGCATACATTAAACAACACATTAAACGTAGTAAAACAATACACAACTATCCCCAATGAGGACATAAATATAATGAAACACTGCCGAAAATCAATATTATATCACAATAAAAATATGGACAAAATAGGGTCATAATAATAACAATAATAATAATAATTTTGACATTACAATGGGTAGCTTTGATGGTGCTCATGCGAATTTCTATACATAAACAATATATTAACAAATATTATTAACAAAAAAGATATAGGTCTATACAGGGATGACGGTGTACTAATTCAAAGAAACTGCAACGGCAGAACTACAGAAAAATAAGATAAGAAATAATAAAAATCTTTAAAATCCGGGAATTTGCAATAGATATAAAATCCAATCAAATATAGTAAATCTCTTAGCTATAATTCAACCTAAATAATGGAACCTAAAAAGCAAACAGAAAACCAACCAACAACCCAATATACATAAAAAATTCAAACCATCCCCTAATGTAACCAAACTAATACCCATGTCCATAAATAAAAGAATTTCAACAAATTCTAGTAGCCTAAACATATTCAATGAAAGTAAAAAAAAAACATAACAATCAGTCCTAAGAAACAGTGGATGTTCAAACAAACTTGAATACAAAAACAGAAACAATTTAAACAGAAACAACAGAAAAAGAAATTTCTTTCAATCCCTCTCCCCTGTAACAATATATATATATATATATATATATATATATATATATATATATTCGCATTAACAGAATTGTGTAGGGATCAGAATAAGAGGTAATCTAAAGGTACGAGATCAGATGAGTACGGAGGATGTATGTAGGACATCCTAGCCAAGGTGTACTAACCTCCGCAAAGAAACGTCAATATCCAATTTTGCGGAAGGAGCTTGTTAAAGACAACGACGTTCCAATCCCACCAGGTACTCAGCATCACTTTCTTTGGATGCAGACAGAATTTTATAATGTTTAACAGTGTCACGTGGGCTCGAAATCAAGCACCACCCACTGAAAAATGTTATGGACTTTTGTTCTATCTCAATATCTACACTCAAACCAGGCCAGGAGAGCTTACGGTCATATCACATTGAAACATTGGTTCTCATGCGATCACCGAAGTTAAGCAACGTTGATCCTGGTCAGTATCGAGACTGATGTGACTACTTGCTAATACCAGGTGCTGTAAGCCTGGATGTGCGGTTGGTGCAATGAATAACGACTCGGAATGATAAATCGGAGAGTTCGAATTCCAGTCGGGTTCATTACGCTCGCTTACACACAAATACCCCTAAGAAAGGTATGAACTCACCTCTTCTCCTCTCGGCTATGGGTTAAATAGTAAGACTTGTATCTGTAAATTCTGATCTCCAAAAAAACTGTTAATACAATATTCATTCATTAAATAGAGAGAGAGCTTAGAGAAAAGGTTGGAGTAATTTAAAAGTTAAGGTAAGAGTCAGAGCTAATCACCATTACTGAAAGAAAACAGAGTCCGAGGTCGTGCTGAAATTACACGCCCTGACCAACGGGCCTTTCGACTACCCACAGAAAGTACCCCCTGTTATGCTCAGTTAGATCAAACCAAAAACGGAGTATTGCTACCATATCTAGATTGGAGTTTTTCAATCCTTACTTTCCAGCATTGACAGAGTTCAAAGGCGTTTACGCGGCCTTTTGGGTGATGAATTATTTTCCACTCTACAACCCCATTCACACAGATGAAACGTTGCAAGCTATTTTCATAAATATTGTTCTGACGAACTACAGACTGTTTTTGAATTCATAATTTCCTTCTGATGTCACCTCAAGGTAAACGAGCCCAGTCAGTCTTGCTATTTAACCCATAGCCGAGAGAAGAGGTGGATGTCTATATTTCTAAAATGTATCTTTTACGAAAGTAATAGTAACGAACTCGACCGAAATTCGAACTCGGCTCGTCGATTTCATTTTTCCAAGTCACTACCCGCACATCCTAAGTTAATGCGAAAATTTATTTTATCTGATCAATACTCGGTGAACTTGAAGTTTTATATAGTGTAAATTTTGTTTTATTTTCAGATCAACTTGCGGTTCTTTTGCAAAGACATTTCAACGACACAGGTTCTCTAATCTGGCTTCCAGAATATCGACAGAAAATTATCGATCTACAAGAACTTTCAAAGACTGTAAGCGACAAGTCTATTTTTTATATTGCCGTGGGTGACCCGCCTTACTACAGAAGTAAGTAACATTTATTTATTTGACACTTCTAGAAAGGCAAAATGTGACGCATGTTCAGTTCTTAGCGTGTGATAAATCTATTTATACTATTTTCCTTGTTCAAATTGTTGCCCTCATGTTTGTTATTATATTCACGACGTTTCAGCCGTTGCAGACTCCGGCCTTCTTCAGATATTTGTTATAATTTCGAACCGAATCCTTTATTCGTCTACCAGGTACATGGGGTGATACCGATGAAAATAAAAACTATTCATAAAAAGACAGCAGTTATTACAGCTAGAAACTATTTAGCATATTCTATCATTACCCCTTTGATCCCTGACAACCTGGTGGTGGAGAAAAGTGACGTAATGCCCAGCCACCGGTTGAAGAGTGGTAAAGAAAAATGACTTAATGCGCAGCCACCGGTTGAACGGTGGGTAAACGCTTGTAACTATTTTTATATCTACGGTGAAACATTACATACCAATTATTTGCGAATTTTGACCAAAGGAGGTCAGGCCGAAGGGTTAAAATTGTTCAGGAATGCAGGGATCAAAGGGTTAAGCAGCGATAATCCTTCCATGTTCCAGTGCCTCGTAATGGATGACACTTTTCATACTCCACCAGACCGCTGTTGACGTAATGCTTCGTTTATCCGATCAAGTTGCTGGCAATAAACTTAACCCTTTGAGCTCTAACTACAGTTTCACCGGTGGTAGAGAAAAATGACTTAATGCCTAGCCCCTTCAGGAACGCAGGGCTCAAACTGTTGAATATATATATATATATATATATATATATATATATATATATATATATATATATATATATGAAGAAATATTGCTTTTAAGGTGTGCTATATTTATGGGGTAAAGTGCTCAATATCAGAGATAGAGCGTGTAAATATAAAAGTGAATATTGAAGTCAATGTTCACTTTTATATGTATATATATATATATATGTGTGTGTGTGTGTGTATGTGTGTTGTGTGTGTGTATGCGTGAGTACAATAAATTAATTATAAGCATTATCACCAAAATGTTATCAAGCCAATGCTGTTGATTTAACTGCTCTTGTCAAGTAGTTCGCAGTCACCAAAAAGATGAGTAAAAACAACAAAACAACTGAATTTCTTCTGGAACAAAAAAAAACAAACATCTGCAAAATTCGAGACAAATTTTTTGTTGCGGGTGTGCTGGTCTTTAAGTTGGAAAACACGCGTTTCCCGGTATATTTTTTCCACAACAATAATTGCGGACACGAATGTTAGTCCGAGTTATAAATGAATAAAGTAACATCAAAACATATAAGGAAACGACATTGTATGTAATAACAAAAGCTATACATAAATATTAACAGAAGATTGTTGCGTGTAACAAAAACAATAAACATGAAAGAAGAAAAGATTAAAACTAGAATTTTTTGTACATATAAAGTTTGTGTAGAAGTTTGGTGAAGGAGGAGTCCTCACGAAAAGTAAATGACAAGGAAATGAAAGGTGTTTGCATTCCTGTGTGTGCGTCTCCAATGGGGAGACCCTTTTCTCCACGTACGACCTACATCTTACCGTCACTGAGAAAATAGGAAAGAGAGGATAATAGAGAATGTCACTATCTATTTAAGGGACGTAATTGTATACATCTGTGGTAAGCGAGAGTCGCGTCTGGTATATTTGTGTTTGTTTTAAAATTTGTTTTGAGTTGAGTGCAGCGTGTGTGTGGCTTAGCTGATGTGTAGTGAGAGATATATGTTTTTAATGATTGTATAAATTTGGCTTTAATTTGTCATCTCTATGTGTAAACTGTGTTTTTCTCCTACAAAATTCCTTACATTTTCACTTTTCTATATTATTTTTTTTTTTAATTTATTTTTTCTTAAACAGAAATCGGAAACCTTTTAAGACAGCGATTCTGGGAGATCAACCATCGAACGCGTACTATGGATATGAGTTTGCAAGTACCATTCGATACGAAAGGAAAGGAATTTGAAGAGGAAGAATCAGACAACTGTATTGCAGAGTTTTTTGGTTCTAGGTGAGCTTTAGGTTTCTAAATCTTTCTAAATCTTATCATGAATATGGCATAATATCGTCTTGTTGAGATGTTGAGTGTTTCTGCGTGTGTGTATTGAAATAATGGCAAACACATACGTAGGGGAAAATACTGGTATATCTGAAGAGGTATTTACAACAGAGAGATTCGTAGTCAAACGAACGCAGGTTAGTCAGTAACAATCAGAAAGAGTATAAAGTCCAACTGTATCTTCCGGTAGAAAGACGGAAGTGTGATGGTCACCTGATCTCCCCAGAACTCTATAGAACTGTCCTATTAGTAGTAGAGAGATCAGTCCATTCTGATGAGAAGGTGGATGGCTCCAACACGTCCATAGAAACATCAAGTCTTTCCATTACGTCGCTTATTCTTATTTCTTTCAGCCAATCAGTTTGGAATTTTTTATTGTGAGCTGGCAATGTGAGTGTTTGTCTTTAAATAACTTCTATTCAAAAAATCATGTTTACTGTATTGAGGCTGTAGCCATGTTTTACAGAATGCGAAGGTTGGTTCGGAATAATAAAATACTGTTTAGAAGACCTCGTCAGTGTGGAATTCTGACAGTGATGGATTGTTTAAGTTTTCGATATAAAACAAAAAATGTCGCAAAGACAGACTGCAAGAATTTAAAAAGTGAACACGCTTCCAGCAACCGAAGTCCTTAGAGAGGCAAGACAGTACGTGGCGAAGAAATCTGAGCCTCTCCCTGTAGCTTCCTTCTAAAACTACTGTATCTCTCCCTCATATAATAAGCGTAAAAAAAAGGAAAGTTGTCTGTCATTAATGCAATCTAGAGTTGGGGGTCTGGAATTTTGAAGGCAGAGGTCACACGAAACGCAATACATGTCCGATACTTTTATTCAGTTGACGAAAGATTGTGTTCTTTATTTCTTATTAAATGATATTAGGAGAGTTTAGTTTTAAATAACTTTTTCATACTAAGGTTTAACAATGCAGCTCCAAGAGTAACTCAAGGTAGAGTGTTAAAATATTTATCACGAATCAGGTTTGTGATAAGAATGAAGGAAGGGTTTGTGGGAAGGGAAGATTATGGGGATAACTAGGATAGATAAGGATTTACTGTAGACCTAAAGAGTAGTTTCCGGTTGCTTTCTTCACGATTTAGAATTCAGAGATTTCATTCTTTGTGAATGGTTGCCACTTGAAGCTAGGGAGCTCTGTTACTTAGATGGTTGAGAGAAGTATCGGATCCATACAATTCGTAAGGACATTTATGCGATAACGAAGGAATTGAACAGAATCTAAATTCGGCTTGCCGGTTCCATCTTTGCGTCGATAACCGTTAAAATACTCGCAAACTAAAATGACGCCTGTTTTTTCAAAACTATTTTTTATATCCCGTCTCAGATTGTTTCGTGCTGTAGGTTTTATTTTAAATAAAATTTATTAAATTTTGATAAACCTGTGCATCTCTTATGAACGGATAAAAATTGGTGCTATTTTTCTAGAGAATATTGGACAATTTCCTCACAGATAACTAGCAAACCTCAGAGAACTGAGATATGATTTTATAAAATTATGCTGAGATTACCGTGGAAGGGACATGTAAGAAACGAAGAAATTTTCAAGAAAATGAAAAGAACACTTCTATTTAGAATCAGAAAGTAACAGTTAGAATATCTGGGTCACAGGGTGAGGAAAGATGGTTTGGAGAATTTAACGTTCATATGATATATTAAAGGCAAATGAGGAAACAGTTATTGACCTACCCAATGAACTTGTGTAAATGGATGGCAGCTCAGAAATTGGGAGGGATAGTAAAGGAACTTAGAGCTACAACGGATAGGAAATTGTGGAGAGTCGTGATCACCTGAGTCATGAAGGGAAACGGCACGTGAAAGAATTTTCGGTTTCTACACTAGACTGATCGAGAAGAAAAAATTTACTTTCATATTCCATGCTAATTTTATTTGTATTATATTTATTTTGGGAGGTGGCAGCCAATTAATAATCGTTGCCCTGCCGTCTCAGATGATCATTGGTATTTCATGCTTCAGAGCCTTTCATGCAGCGTCTTGGGTTCGCAAAGTCCAGCGTATGAAAGGCGGACATGCCTACAGATGTTTCATGTACTGGTCTGTCCCAACTATGTTGATTATATGATGATCCACTCTCGCTGTTTTTATTCCATCCTTGTTCCCGTGGCTTCTTCGTGATGAGCCAAGTGATCTCAGATGTCTTGGCCCACTGATTGCTGTCAATGAGCGGTATTTTTCCAGGTAAAAGGGTTCACACTAACCAACGTGAGGTTTTGTTTACAAAAGTCCTTGAATCGAAGTTGTGGGCAGCCAATTTTTCTTCTTTCATGTGTTACTTTTCGTTTTGTCTTGTTAATGTTAATTCATCCAAAACGAAATTGTTGTCTTTTAGTCCACTTAGAGGACCAGTTTTTGTCTCCCATCAGCATGGCTGATGCTAACCTCCAGGAGAGCAACGTATTCTTGGTCTTATGTTTTTCCACTGAAATCGAGTGAAACGACTATACTGAATCATTTACTAAATCTTCTGCTGATAGATTGGTTCACTGTGTCATGCTAGAGATGTTTTTCTCATCAGAATCCATCCTGTTCATTTATAACTCTGCCATTTGTCCTTGCATTGAACATTGCTGCCATATCTAATCTGGTTTTCCTGCTATATATCTCGAGATTCTTGACAAAATACAAAGAAGAATCTGCAATATAATCGGTGCTGACCTGGCATTACAGCTTCAGTCATAACGTTTCTTCCGTGAATTTTATATAAATATTTCATGGTAACTCTCCCGATGAGTTTTTTCCCTTTTGGCACTTTGACATCATGAATTTAAGCATAGTACTAGATTGGCAATTAGGTCCCATAATTTTACTGTAGAAATAGATAGATGTAAACATAAGGTCTTGGAATAGTTTCTTGTCTCTTAGAACACTTTTTGCACTTTAGAATTGGAACTCCCCGAGTTCCAAGTCTAGTCGGATTCGTTATTTTCACTTACACGTAAATACCGCTGGGAAAAGTATGAATCCACCTTTTCTCTTCCGACTGAAATTGGAACTCGGCTGTTCGATTTCCAATTCAGAGCCATTACACCACCCGCACATCTAAGCTTACAGAATCTGATATTACCAAGCTGTCAACCATCTAGGTACTGATCAGGCTCGACGTTGCTTAACTTCGTTGACTGTAAACCTGTGTTTAAACGTGATATGAGAATGAACAGTTAAAGAAAGAAAAAACGTAAGAAAGGAATAAAGAAACAAGGGATCTTTATAGAAAGTGTAAGAGAGAGAGAAAGAGAGAGAGAGAGAGATCAAAAGAACTGTGAAAGAGAGGGAGAGTGAAAGAAAGACGGTGGTACTGTGGAAGAAAAGGAGATTGAATGAACGAAGGAGGTATAGTGAAAGTGAGGGAGAGCGAAAGAAAGAAAGAAAGAAAGAAAGAAAGAAAGAAAGAAAGAAAGAAAGAAAGAAGCACTATAAAAGAGAGGGAGAGTGAAGAACGAGTGAGGCATAGTGAAAGAGAGGAAGAGCATAAGAACGAAGGAGACACAGTGAAAGAGACGGTGAGCGAAAGAACGAAAGAGGTATAGGGAAAGAGAGGAAACGCGAAAGAACGGAGGAGGCATAGGGAAAGAAAGGAAAAGCGAAAGAACGGAGGCACAGTGAAAGAGAGGGAGGGTGAAAAACAAAAGAAGTATAGTGGAAAAAAAAAGGAAAGTAAAAGAACGAATAGTGAAAGAGAGGGAGAGCGAGAGAGAGATAAATAACAACCAATAACGGAAAGTCGGGAGTGAAATCATAATAGCACGTATGTCAGCAGTGACAGCATAATAACGACTTTCGGCAAATCTTTTTGAAACTGTCAACTCTTGGCTTTGCGCTTAAATTGCGGTTGACATCAGATGACAAGCGGAAATAACTAATAAAACCACAGGAAACACAAGTCATTGCTTTCTTCCGTTTGTTATCATGAGATACAGAGATTAGGAAAAGTTGATAATGGAAAACAAAAGAAAGACATGTATCAATATTTGATTTTACTAAATGTTTACCTAATACAAGGCCCAAGAGCCAATCAAGATAGTGTTACACAAGACGAAGAAGTGCATATTATGAGAACATCTAAGATAACGGTTTACTTTAAACATGAAGAGGTAAAGATTGTAGTTGATCGAGGAAGCATCATTTGGGGAGTCTCTTCCACGAAGTAGCAGATCTCGGGAAGCTGTCTGAATAGAACTTCCTTCCTGGAACAAGAAGGGAATGAGGCGGATTCGACCCTGTGTACGTGGCATGGTAGGTTCTAGCCTTGAATATGTTCGAACAGTTGGAGCAAACGAAAGTAGCTCATCAGAACCTTTGCCATGATAATAGCGATTAAGTAGTGATAGGGTTTGCATTGTTTTGTCTGTGAAAAGGAATTGTTAGGTTGAAAATAATTCATCACCTATAAGGCCGCGTAAACACTTTTGAACCCTGGAAAGTGAAGATTAGGTAGCTCCAGCCCAAATATGGCAGTAATACACTATTTCTGGTCTGACTCTCAAAAAGTTAGAGCATGAGAGGGGGAGTCGGGTACTTTTTGGATTGATACAAGGAACTAACCCTTTTTCCAGCATCTTTGGCGATGGATCATATATATGAGATCCAGTTGAGGTCCTGGGAGAGCTTGAATCCCAGTAGACATCCCAGTCAAGGAGCCTCATTGTGAGTACAATCGTTCATTATGAGCGGAGAAAATTCTGATGATGGAATGTTATTAGCTTTGAGAGAGGGGGAGGAGACGATTGAAAAAAAGAGAGAGGGAAAAGGAGAAATAAAAAGAGGAAGTTGAAAAGATATAGGCTCATACAATATGATAAAACTAAAAGAATTTGCGTGAGAGAGGCAGTATCAAAGAATTATGATAGAAAGAGAGAGGCTAAGATAGATAGATAGATAGATAGATAGATAGATAGATAGATAGATAGATAGATAGATAGATCTGTCTAAGAAAGAAAGAAAAAAGAAAGAAAGAAAAAAGAAAGAAAAAAGAAAGAAAGAAAAAAGAAAGAAAGAAAAAAGAAAGAAAGAACAGGCTATGATAGATAGATCAGGCTAAGAAAGAAAGAAAGAAAGAAAGAAAGAAAGAAAGAAAGAAAGAAAGAACATGCTAAGAAAGAAAGAAAGAAAGAAAGAAAGAAAGAAAGAAAGAAAGAAAGAAAGAAAGAAAAATAAAAACAAGAGGCCAGAATAGATAGATTCACACAAAGGAAAAAATAATGTAAATATGAACAAGCAATATAGCAGACATATAAATAGAAAAAGAGTCTGTCCTCTACGTCTTTTTCTGTGACCTTCTAGTCCTGCAGCTTAAACTAAGTGACTGTCGTATTTGCATTGTCCATTGTCGTGAACACGGACTTGTTGACCATCAGACCACAACCAAGGGACAAGACATCAATATTTGTCCCGTTTCAATTGGGTCAAACAAAAGCTGAGAACTGGTCATGCCAAGGAGGCCATGGGAAATATTTACGATCGGAAAAATAATTTGTAATGAAATATAGACATTGAATATCAACATTCTACCTATTATGTCACCTTAGCAAAAGTTTGGCGAAAAGCCCGGCCATTTCGCTGACTGCAGCCTGACAACTGATGAAAGAGAGAAAGTCCAAAAGTACAGGAGCCGTTGCGTGATGGTTTAATGATAATCGAAACGAAATCAAAATACCGAGTTCGAATTTGGATCGAAGTTGCTTATGTCACTTTTCTCGCAAATGCATCTAAAAAAATGAATTTAATGTTTCAGAATAGTACTTAATTTTTATCTTTTCTTACAATGATATTTACCCTGTACAAGACCTAAGAGGCAGTCGCGTTAGAGGATTACAGAGTAAGAGGCACAGTTTATTGAGAAAATGTAGCGAAGATAACAATTAACTCTAGACTTGGACAGGTTTCTAGTGATCAGGGAAGTATCCTCTTGGGAGTCGGTTCGAAAAAGCAGCAGTTCGTCGGAAGAAGCTGATCACCCCACCAGACATACGAAGGGAATGGTTATGGTTCGCTACAGTGTGTGTGGCATGGTGGGTCCTAGTCGTGAATGTTAGAACTGGGGAAACTATAAGGAATGTAGTCCTTTTTGAACACTTTCCATGGAAATAGCGATAGAACAAAGAGAGGCTTGCGAGTTTTCGTCTGTAGGAAAGAGGTTGTATTGTTGAAAATAATTAATCACCCACAAGGACGTGGAGACACTTTTGGGCTCTATCGGCCTGATCTGACTTTTGTAAAGGTAGGAGATAGTAGGAGGAGTCAGGTACATTTTTCCAGTATATTTAGCAATGGCTCCTATTGGACGAGCTTCCTTGACGTCTAGATTGAGTTTAAGCTCCAACAGGTGTTCATGACCCGCGTCCTATCTGAGAAAACACCCGATCATGGTAATAGGTGAAAATTCAAATGAAACATCTATATATAAATTTCTGTAACTTAATTTGTCCGTCCGTCAGATTGTCTAAAATACTCATACATTGACCAATCGAAAACAAATTTAGTGCAGAAGTACAAACAGGATACAAAGTACAGTTGGTTTTACTAGCGTGTGTAGCTTAGTACAATAAATGTTCATTCATTTTTTGAAAAATTAAAAGTTTTATTATTTAGTATACAAAATACTCCCACTATTTAAGAAAACAATTCAGTGATTAAAATAACAAATATTTATTTAATAAAAATGCAATATTGTTTTTTGCATAAGTTTTTATATATACAAGAATCAAGTTTCCAGTTCTCCCTGCGTTTGTGAGAACTAGAAACAAATCACAAGACTACACATTTTAAAAAGTCGGAATTTGGCTCCAGAATGAAATATGTATGCATGGCCAGTTGTATGCTCAAGAGTAAGAAATCCTAAGAATTTATTCATCGCTGCTAAAAACGAAAAAAATTTTCTTAAAAAATATTGTTTACCATGAAGTCCTATAAAATTAAATCAAATTAAAGAAATTAATAAACGGCGAAGAAGGGTTTTTGCTAAAGTATTTTTCAAACAACGATTGGTTTGTGAAATTGAACGAAACGTAGAGTTTGTAAATCTCGACAAAAATATTAGCGATAAGTTTAACAATACTAAATACTGTGAGAATTTCAACACGTGTAGCGTGTTGCAAAAAAAAAATCTAGTTTTAAAAAAATAGTAATTAAAAATGCCGTGAATATTTTTTTAGGAATCATCTTCAAAGGGAAAGGTTTTTTTCTTCTTTCAGAATTCACCTTCTACGTCGAAATCGTTTGCTTCTTCGAAATGATTTTCTTTGCTGGAGGAACAACTTTCAAAAAAACATTCTCGAGAGATATTTGTCGACAACCACAAATGTCTTTGTCACCAGAAAATAAAGGGAGAGAAAAGACGCTGTCTAAAGGCGGCAAACTCAATGCATAGTTTCCATTCACCAGTAAAATGGCGCGGAGCTAAATTTAACGAAAAAGAAATCCTCTCCTTACTGGGTAAATATTCGTAAAATAAAAGTTATCTTTTATTCCTACTTCCTTTCCTTACCTTCCCTAATGTTCGAAAGCAGACGTATAGCAAAAATTAGTCAGCAGATCTTATTTTCCTAAAAAAAAATCTATAAGTAAAAATTTACCTATAAAAATCTGTGCAAAAAATATAATGAAAGCCAAGATATATCATGTAAGCCCTATAAGTCATGCAACTTACCAATAGTTAAACCAACTTATTCTGCATTTCTTTAAAGCTATTGCACCAAACTTATAATGACGGTCTTTTTCTTCTGGTGAGCATGGCTCTCCACGATTTCCTATCTTTTTCAGTACTTAATAAATTTTGTCTTTTTTTGTTATCTCTCCTAAACACTGTTATGTCATCCATTTACACAAGCTCGCTAAGTTACGCTTTCTTAATATTTTGCTTATCTTTTGAAAGATATTTTTCGTTATCCCAAAGCGCCATCAGATTTCAATGTCGCATTTTCCGTCCTCTTTTAGAACACTTCATAGATGTTTAAATTGATGTACTTGTTTGCTTTTGGTATCTCCAATTTGAGTAGAGCAAAATAATCCGATATTGCGGGCAGTTCCGTCCGGAATAAAGACAGGATTCAACAGCCGAGTTCGTCTTCTTTGATGACGGCATCAAGATGCTCCTGACGTGTTCTTTCAAATTTATTTACCGTATTTATGTCAGCGTACAAGGCGACCTTTTTTATCTTAAAAAAAAAAAAACCGTATCAATAGGGAACAGTTTTATATTCCAGGTATAATATGTGAACCATAAATACTGGAAAGTTGTTTTTCGCATGGGAGATTTTTGACAGCAGGCTAACCTCTGCCTCGTCGCCTTTTTTCGATGATGTTAAACAAAAACACAACTGGATGCGTGTCTCAACAAGCTGTTTAAAGATCGCATTCGAGAACAGTGAGACGAGTGGATGGTTAGCGAGGAAAAGTCATTCAGCTACCGTAATACCCTACCGAAAACACAGCCCCCAGTCATGAGGTATTGTAGATTGGGGTAGTTAATTGACAATATCTCCCCACCATTTTTTTTTCATTAGAATTTGAGTTAAGAGAAAGTATATGCTTACTGAATTTATTTAATAAATACGATACAATATATTTTGAAATACGAGTCGTCTTGTACGGCGGATATAGCCTGAAATCTACATTTTAACTGGAAAATATCGAGGACGTCTTATACGCCCAGTCGCCTTGTACGCCATCATATTCGCTACTTTTTGATGAAAGAGTAATCAACAGGTAAATCTTGAAGAGATTTTTTTCCAGTTCTTGTTTATAATTCTTGTTGTTGGCATGCAAATAAGCGTTTTCAGTGTTACTTTTTTTTATAGTTCGGTTAGCTATCGAATATTTTCTTCACGTACAGTTTGTTTTCCATTTGAAACACACATCAATTGAAAGCAGTTGAAAGCGACTCTTAGCAACATTGGTTATCCTATCAATGTGGTCACCGGGAAAGAATCCAAATCACTACATAAAAATAATGCTTTTCTAGACTAGCTTGTTAGCTATTACTCTATCACAAAGCCCTTCGCTTAATCTAACACAAGGCCATATGTATTTAGCATTCAGTAGCGATCGACCATATAGCGTAGTAGTAACGGTCTGCTAGACTGATACCTTAACCATCATTCAAGGGGAAGGCATCTCAGAAAAGATCCTTTTGCTACATATAACTTGAGAAAAAAGTGTTACACTGTTAAGTGTTTGAATAAAGGTCAAACGGTAAAATTTAAGGAAATTTTATTCAAATATTCATTCGTCTGATTTTGCTGTTCTTCAACTCTGTTTGCAGTGCGCAGCACATATTTTAGGTTATCAGAGAATTATCTTTTGTTTTCAGCTACAATGTCAACCTAAGAAAGGAAGACAAAAACTGAGCCATTGTTCAATTTTGAGCGACATTTACTAAAGAGCGTGTCAACTAAGAATGTAAAGCCTCCCGGAAAATAACCAGAGCGGCAAGAAAAGGCCAAGGTTACATCAAATTTAATAACATTTACTACAAGCAAGTTTTTTCTTCCAATTTTTAAAGTTATACGCTCTTAAGAACCAAAAGTAAAATTCTGCATTTTTCTATATTTTTCTTGACTATTAGCTTGTTGGCCCGGAAGAGAATTTGATCTCTAAATTTCCTCTAGCCTGGATCGAAGAAGACTAGTGATAAATCATCGGATCGAAGACTGGTGCCGTGTCATCTAGTGAGACAAGTTTCCAGTTCATTCGAATAGACGATCTAGTTCGCATCTAGGAGACAATAGGCTATGGTTCCAGACTGTCAGCAGGGTGTTTTTCAAGCTAATTTTTTTTTCTTAGTGCAATGTCGCTTAAGAACTTAGGCGGTCCTGATTCGCCACATATTCTTTTCCTTTATCATCTGCGATTTTCCATGCGTTCTTGGGAAAGATGGTGGAGTGGTTTCAGGTTACCTTCTTTGGAGTTTTGAATTCAAAGTTTACCTTCTCTTAAAATGATTGCTACCCAAGTTAGAAACTACAGACTACACAGTTATTTAATGGGAGATGGGTTCATGTCTTTTCAAATGGCATTTGTGCGAAAGTAAACGCAGTAGACTAGGCCGAAATTTGAACTTAGCTCGCCGATTCTATCTTCTGCCCTAATATCCGTTACACTACCCGTGTATTCTGCGCGTTCGTGCTACTCTTATTATCAAATATGTGGGCGGGGGGGTGTTCTTTTGACAGGTGTTTCAGAACATTTGTTTCTTTTTATGCTATCCATATTTCCCGGTTGTGATATTCCAATAAAATAACGCAATTCTCTGCACTACCCCAGAAACAGATCCAAGGAACACTCAGCTGACTTCCTCGTACTTGAAATATTATTGTGTAACTTGATTGGCTAAAAATACCGTGCAAAAGTGATTGGCCAAAAAAATAACATGCAAAATGGATTAAAATTGTGATCAAATTTAATCACTAAAAATACTGTGTAAAATTAAAAATTCTTTGTAGAATTGATGGGCTGAAAATATTGCAACATTCACTGGCGGAAATAGCGTATATAATTGAATAGCTCGAAATACTGTGTAAAAATGATTGATTAAAAATAACCTGTAAAAAGCGCTAAAATGTAACCCCTCGTGACTTAGTGGCTTTACTACCTTGCATGGGGTGATACCGATGAAAAATAAAAACCAACAAAACTGAAGAACAACGGGACAGTTTTAATCATAGATTAAGACTGAAAGCGAGTTCCAAGATGATTTTATTCATTATTACCATAATAATAAATTAACAGATTTTACTGTGATAATTATTCCTCGTGAATGATTAGATAGCGATTCTAAGAATTCATACACTCCAATATTTTTTCTTAGGAATTCTGCCTTCTTTTAGCTCAAAGAAATATTTTGCTAGTTGGTAAAAATATCGCTTCTGAACAAGATCGCCTAATGGGCGAATGATGGTAATTGAATAATGTTCAGTTTGCTCTTTCTGATGTGGGCTCAACTGAAGAAAACCCAATTTTGCAAAAAGTGGATGCGCAATGTGATGTAATGGATATTGGCTCGGAATGAGAAATCGAAGAGCCGAGTTCAATTCCAGCCGAGTTCGTTGCATACACTTGCGCACAAATACCTTTGGTTAAAGATATGAATTCATAGCTTCTCCACCTCAGCTATGGGCTGATTAGCAAAACAGACTGGATTCTTTAGCTTTGGTTGCCAACCAGTTTACCGCAAAAAGAAATGCCAACGTACTGCTGGAAAAAATCTTCTGCCTAGTTCGTTATGTATTAAAAGACACGTGATCGCCCAAGCGGGCGTCAAGTACGCCACTTAACTGACTGACTGACTGATTAAACAACACTCGCAGGGCACATCGAAGGTAAGAAAAGACAATGGAAAGCTTCCAGAAATCTGCTTGTCAAGTTTGAGCAAACAGATTCCGAAAGAAGTACCAAAGAAAACCAAAGAGAGTCACAAAGGAATCAATATTTGTTAGAATAGCAACCGATGTGGCGAGTTAAGATTATTCACGTCCTGAAGAGACGTAGCATAGAATGAGAGGGTAGGGGAGAGAGAGAGAGGCAGGAGGAGTGGAGAGAGGGAGTGAAAGTGAGGTCGGGAAAGAGCGGTGTGAGTGGGAGGGGGTTCAAGAGAGTTGCGTGGAAAAGGATTGTCTAAGACGGGGTCTTCGATTATGTTTATTTCTTTATTTTATTTGTTTCATTTCAATTCTTCCAACTCTTTTTTCCTTTTTCTCCTTTTTCCTGTTTCTTCTTTTCTTTATCTCTTTCATTGACTATTCACATCCTTTCATTTTATAACAACAGATCATATTTTTTCTTTCTTACTTTCTTTTTTTTTTCACTATTAACACGCCATCCAATTATTCTATAACAAATCAACAAATTTTTGTTTCTTTTCCTCCTTTTTTCTTTTTCTACCCATTTTCATCACTAAGTTTTTCCCCGTCTCTCTATTTCTTTCTTTCTTTCTTTCTTTCTTTCTTTCTTTCTTTCTTTCTTTCTTTCTTTTCGATCTTGTTTGCTTCTTTGTCTCGTTTGTTTCTTTCTTTCTTTTCCTCAATATTTCTTCTTTCTTCTCTTTCAGTTTCTCTGTTCTTTCTCCCTTTCTATCTTTCTTTCTTTTTTTCTTTCTTTCTTTCTTTCTTTCTTTCTTTCTTTCTTTCTTTCTTTCTTTTCGATCTTGTTTGCTTCTTTGTCTCGTTTGTTTGTTTCTTTCTTTTCCTTAATATTTCTTCGTTCTTCTCTTTTAGTTTCACTGTTCTTTCTTTCTTTCTTTCTTTCTTTCTTGCTTTCTTTCTTTCTGTTCATGTAGACACTATCTTTCTTTTTCTTCCTCACTTGATGCACTTCATCTCCCAAATTTCTACTCCGAAATTGTCCTTCCTTCCTTCCTTCCTTCTTTCCTTCCTTCCTTCCTTCCTTCCTTCTCTTTTCTTTTCCTTGCTAACAACTTTCCCTTGAGACTAATTATTCGTGACCTTCCTAAATAAAAATCGAATTTTCCAAGCGCAAGCAACATTTTCCTTCATGGAACTTATTTAGTGGTAACAGATTCGTTGAAAATCTAAAACAAGAGAAAAGTTTTTATAAGCTAATGACAGCGGAAACAAAACAAAACAAATATACTGACAACAGCGATGAGGAAAAATGGAAATTCATCTGACAACAACTATAAAAAATTAAATAAATGGATTAAAAAAGAAAAAAAGAAACTTTACGCAGGTGCGCACCCACGCACGAACACGCACGCACATACACATACACACACAAATAAATATATATATATATATCTTTAGGCATCCATTTATCTCTCGAAATAATGGTAACATTCTGTTTGGTCAAAATGCAATCTTTTGTGAGCAGAGCCTGAAATGGCTTAACAGTTCGATCTTTGCATGGCAGTCTCTTCTGCAGTTGTGGCAGACGAACCTGGAATAAAGATCTGAGATTGATCCCTCTGTTTGGTGTGTTCTCTTCTGATCTCCAATAGTTGGCTTCGTTTCTTTCCCGCCATTCATTACTCCTCTTTGAACGCCATGGCACCAGTCGCTGCTATCCACTGATCAATGTTTTCAGCTACCAGACTCGAGGCCTGTGAGTTTTAGGTCTCTTTTTCAAACGTCCTTGAAACTTAGTGCAGCACGGCCTGCCAGACGGTATGACGTGGCCTGCTTACCGCACATGATGTTTTTTTGGTATATGGTCTTTATTTGATACACACACACACACACACACACACACACACACACACACACACACACACACACACACACATATATATATATATATATATATATACTTAGCTCTTGAAAATGTATTTTCAATTCAGCACTGTTGAATGATAAGTTAATTCCAAAAAACAAAAACAAAAAAAAAAAACAAAAAACAAAAAAAACAACGGTCATCTGCGTAAATGTGAAGCTCTTGAGTAAAATGAATGGAGCACTACGGCTGCTTGGCGTTTGTTTACGTTTGTAAAAACAATACTCTAGATTTGGATGACTCATCCTGTCGAGTAAAAATAGCTCCGTGGTAGAAGCTTTTTTTATTTCTTAATCTGACGGTTTTTATCAGTTTAAACGTTATTTTTAGTGGATATCCATATTTGAGTATATGCTCCGTTTATTTATGAAAGAAAATAAAGAAATGTACTTTTCAATAAATAAATGTAGCGTCTACTCAAATATGAGCATTCACTAAAAATAAAAGTTTAAAGTCAAAAAGACCAATATTAAAAATGAATTTGTAAGTTCCAAAATTTAAATACGCAAAATTAGTTTTTTGTTTATTGTCACAACTTGGTAAAGGGATCTGTAATAACAACGACAACGCAGTTTAGTCTGGTGACTTCTGTCTGAAGAAGCAATACTCCTGCTTTTTATTCACACATATACAATATGGCCGACATAGTACTTCCGCGTCTGAACAATGGCTGAAACGGTGCTTCCGTTTCCTTAGCACCCGATGACATTATTTTTTATTTTCAGTAACTAAATAAAATTAACACAAATATTATTATTAAAACTAGATATTTCTTGGAGTTACTTGACAGAGGTATTATGAAAGCAACTTGACTAATCATGAAAATTTGACTTACTACTATTTGTTAGCTGCGGCTACGGATTTTTTCTGATTTACCTATGTAGATATCAGCATATATATAAAAGACTGAGGGCTATACACACACACACACACACACATATATATATATATATATATATATATATATATATATATATATATTGACATACAGCGGCAAACAGATACGAACAGACTGCGAAAGATATGGACAAATTGAGAAGAAAAATCTGGCCTGCAAATAAAATTGGTGACAGACATCCCGTGAATTTTAGGATTTCTCTCCATGTATAACTGTTTACATTTATATAATCCTCATCAAAGTAAATAAATGTCCAATGCAGTTCACGTTCCACTTCAACTAGATGTGAATACCTTCAATGAAAAGCCATTTCATCAACTCAGGTGATTTCCATTCGCCAAACATGGCTTCCGGGTACATTTCCAATTATTTCAGCAATGTATAGCTAAATGGAAGAAAACAAAATCAAACATTTTGCAACGCCCACAGCTGTTACTTCTACTTCCGAAACTTTCTTCTGTCATGTTAAATGATGATGTTGTCGTTACAATTATTTTCTTGTTATCAGGAATGATTAATTTACACGTTAGAGATGATATAAAATGATGTATTTCTTGCTTGACCTGAATAGTAGCAACATCAGTCATTTCAGAAGCCATTATGAAGAAGAACAGGAATGAAATGTAGTCGATTTGCACTTCGAAGATTTTTGAAGCTGTGGCAGGATAGGTCCCCCACACGAAGTCAAGTGAACCCTAAATGATTCTATCTCCGACAGAAGTGTGCTGTAACCTTCTAACCAGTAGTAAAGTCTACAAATGACGATGAAATTTATTCAAGTAAAATTTTAAAATAAATTTTACTTTCTTGTTTACACTATCACTGGCAAAAAATTTAATGTCATGGCTGTAAGCAAATGCCTTTTTTATAGTAGCATGGTGACTCTTTTTATTTTTTAAATACTTGATTTAGTATTTAGTATTGTTGAGGTTATCACTAGCATTTTTGTCGAGATTTACAAACTCTACGTTTCGTTCAATTTCGCAAACCAATTGATGAAATTTGAATAAGCTGATTTGTTTAAAAAATACTTCGAAGTTTAATAATTTCTTTAATTTAATTTAATTTTATAGGACTTCATGGTAAACACTATTTTTTAAGAAAAGTTTTTTCGTTTTTAGCAGCGATGAATAAATTCTTAGGATTTCATACTCTTGAGCATGCAAAATACAACTGGCCATGCGTAAATATTTCTTACTGGAGCCCAAATTTCCAAATTTTGAAGCGTTTGGCCTTGTGATTTGTCTTCAGGGCGAACTGGAAACTGGATTCTTGTATATATAAAACTTTAAAGAAAAGATATACAGAAAAACAATATTGTATTTTTATTAAATAAGTATTTGTTATTTTAATCAGTAAACTGTTTTAAAATAGTGGGAGTATTTTGTATATTAAATAATAAAACTTTTAATTTAAAAAGAAAAAATGAATGAATATTTATTTTACAAAGCTGCACACCTTAGTAAAACCAACTGTACTTTGTACCCACTTAGCTGTTTGCCCTTCTCCCCCAAATTTGGTTTCAGTAAATGTATGGCTATTTTAGAGGGTGTGATGGAAGTTACAGAATTTTATATATAGATTTAAGTACGTGAAATGAATTTGTGGGATAAATCAACCAAGCACTATCAAAAGTAGTCGTTTAGCAAGGTGATACTCTTGTGAAAGAATTTACAACTTAAAAAAAAACATTTATTGGTTTATTCCTTAAATCACATAAAAGACGCTAATCTGCATAGTGTGGTGGCCATAGGTTTAATAGTAGGTTAGACTGGGGTCTTTAGCCTTGGCTGCCAATTACTCTGAATGCCAAAACTGTAAAGAAGGCAACTAGAAACAGATACCTTTCCTAAGAATGCAATTCTTAGATAACAAAGAATCATCTGCAAAAAGTCATGATCTCGTATGGATCTTGAAAGTGGGTATACATAGCAGTTAAAAAATGTATTTCCTTAATCTTAATTTTCCTTCCTTTATTTTGTAGCAACTCAACCTGCCATTCTACCGCCATTAGCGAACGGCGTCGATTGAAAATAAAGAATGAAAGCTTTTTTCTGAGATTTGAGCTCACATTCCTTATGTATTGTGACGGTGAATGCTGAACAATTGGATCATAGCTAAAAAGAAAACTTGAGGCAACAAAGATGGCGTTCTACAGAAGGATTATTTACATTATTCGGACTATTGTCCTCATCTTTGTCGCCATATTTATTACAACGTTTCGGCCGTTGTACGCTCCAGCCTTCTTCAGGTGGTTGGAATTTCGAACCGAACCCTTTATTTCGCTCACTGGGGTAGACTGTTCTAGTTCCACGTGCCATGTCTAATGTCAGTTATTTCCTGCTAATTTCCCTCTGAAATTTCTCCACTGCCTTAACCGGGTATTGAACTCACACTCTTTGGGTCCTGTCACTGGATCTAACCAACGCCTTTATCCACTGTGCCATGTGTCCTTGGGGACATCTGGGTATGAATTTCTGGGTATTATAATACAATAGTCCGAATAATGTAAATAATGTACATAATACCTCATCTCAGAAATATAGACAGACCCTACAGAAGGATGTTTAGAATATCAACGAGGTATTTTTAAGGAAATGGAAAAAAACGCTCATATTTTAGAATCAGAAAACGACAGTTGAAATGTTTGGGACATATAACGAGGAAAGAGGTCTTGGAGAATTTGACATTCACAGACCATATAGAAGGCTAGAGGGAATATTGAGTAACCTACTTAATGAGCATGTGGTAATAGATGGCAGATCAGAGAGTAGAAAGAATGGCAAAAAGACATTGCTAAGTCTACAAAGAATAGAAAGTTGTGGAGGGCTGTGAACGCTCACGTCCTAAAGACAAACGACACAAAGAAGAAAACGGATATGAAGTTGTCGAAGGTTATGATCTCCCACGTCTTGAAGAGACAAAGCGTAAAAGAAGAAGAAGAAAACGAAAGGAAGTTGCGGAAAGATTTGATCGCCCACGTCGTGAAGAAACATGGCACAATGTAGAAGATGGTGGAATGTAGTCATTGTCACCTTTAACAATAAGAAGGCAGGAAATATTTTGAGTTAAGCGATTTTTTGGTTACTTTTATTTTGAAGAATATATTCTTAATAACTAATTCAAAATGGCTGATACTCGTCAAGAATTCTATTCATAAAATCTTTTTATTATTATTATTATTATTATTATTATTATTATTATTAATAACGTATACCAGGCAATCATATGTACGTCAGGGTCGCTACTTGAGATAAGACGATGGTAGATAAAAAGAATACCATTAAACTGGCACCCTCGC